CCCCAAATGGGGGTCGTGTCCCCCCCCTTGCTCTCCCACAGCCTCTGTGGCCCTCCCCTGTCCCCCCCCCGCTCTCACCCCCTTTTCTCTCCCCACAGAGCTCCTGAGCCGCTGGTGGCTGCAGCCCCTCCCCGTGGCCTCGGGCCCAGCTGGGACCTCCCAGTCCATCCCCACCCTGAGTTTGGGGGGTCATGTGTCCCCCTCGGGCCTGCTTTTATTCTGACCCCAGCCGGCTGCTCCCAGTGTTCCCAGTAAAGCTTCCCAGTTCTCCCCAGTCCCTGTTTTGGGGGGCAGTGAGGGCAGGGGGGAGGGGATCCCTGTCACAGCTTTACTCCTTCTAAAAAACCAAGCAGGAATTTTTCTTTGCCCTGCCCCACTGGAAAAGAAAGATGTTGAATGGGGGAGGGGTCTTTGCCTTGGGTGACTCACACCCACAAAAGAACTGGCCCAGCCCACACTGCAGGTTGGGAGCCCTCAGAAGGCTCTGGGGGATGTGGAGTGTTTTGCTTTCTCCTGGGCAAAGGGCAAGGCCCTTCACTTTGGCCTTAACTCAGGCAAGGGGTGTGTTGGAGAGGCTCCGAGGTCCTTTTGTTCTGGGCCTGCTCATCTGGCTGTTTGCTGGTTCCCATTTGCCTTCGTTTCCTGCGCCCTGTTCTGCCCCCAGCCCGGACCTGCTCGGACTTCATGGGACAGGTTTGACCCCCCTACAGAGGAAGGGTCCCTTTTGGGGAGGAGGTCGCCCTTTCCCTCCTCCGCTCCCGTGTTGGCAGTGGCGTGTGCTCATCGGCCAAAAGGGGGAAATCCCAGCCACAGCCAGTCATAGACAGTGGGAGTTTTGTGGGAAGAACCCACTTTTCCCCTTTTCCCTCCTCGCTTTGGAGGAATCTCCATTGGCGGCCCAACAGCGCCCCCTGCTGGCCGTGATTGGAATTGTGGTAAAAGGCAGAAAGTTCCCAACTCTTTCCTTTGGAAGGGGATTTTTGGCTACAGGATCATTGCTTGGTTGGTTTGGTGTTCTGTTGTTCTTCTGCCAATAAAAAGATATCCTTTAATAAAGAGCTGTTATTTTTCCTTTTTTCATATGTGCTGGTTTAAACGTTAACCAGCAGGGGAAACCAACCCAACTCAAAAGAGAGATTACAAATCAGAATAACAATTTAATAAAATAATACAATAAGTACGACCACACGGACAAGCAACCGGCCCTAACCCACAAAGCCCAAATGTACGACCCAGCACCCCAGGGCACAAACAAAACGGTGCTTCCTGGGCCCCCCCTGAGTCCAAAGCAAAGGGAGAGGGGAAAAAAACCTGCTGGTGGGAGAGCTGCTGCAGTCTGGTCAAAAGTGGTGATTGATCGGTCCCAGCTGTTCTAACTAGGACACCTGTGATGTCACTGCTGTGTCTGTGGCAAGGGCAGGGGGGAAGAACATTCACCTCCAGGTGATGGGCTGGCTCCCAGGGCCTGAAGGTTCCCCCTCCAACTAATCCGCCGGTCACAGCCCTCTGCTCGGCCAACCAGGCACCTCGCTGCCCTTTTCCTGCCCCGCCACTGCCATGGGGAAGAAAATGCAACCCAGGGAACCTCCCCAATCTTTTGGGGTCCCCCTCGGTCACCGACTTCAGGGGGGGCTCCACTCCATGGCTGGCTGCTCCCGGCCCAGCCTGGGGTGTTGTCCCAGTTAGGACAGCCAGGACCAGTTCATCACTGGATGGGTGTAACCCAGAACTGTGTATTCTACACCCTCCACGCCATTGCCCAGAAACTGTTGTCAATGAATCATTTACACCCTCTGCCCAGAGCAGCCCTGACTCCTCAGGCCATAAACTGGGTGTTAAGAGGCCTGTGAGATAGGAGGGTGTTTTTGTCCTCACACCCTTTGTGGAACTCCCTGCCCTGAGGGAGGGACTGGGCATTCCTGCCTGAACTGGAGGATAATCTTGGGGTCTTGGGACTTTTGGAACCACTCTCAGTGGCCGGTCTGAAAAATAAAAGCTGGACATGATTCCAGTTATGGGGGAACTGGAATCCTTTACTGAACACAAGAACACAATTTTAAAGGCATCTGGGGCTGTTAATGAAAGGGCCAACCTGTGTTAATTGGGGAGTTACACGAGCTTTTACTGCAGTTTCCAAAGAGTTAATTTTTCTTCTGGTAGGATTGCACGGGGGACGGAGGGATTACAGGGGTTTAGACATGGTTTTAACAATCATCTCAAAAAGTCCTTTCTTAATTCTTCTTGGAGCCAGGTTTGTATCTTTGGGTTGTACATCAACAGGTCTCTTCTGGACAAGGGTCCAAATTTCTTCAGGTCATGAGATGTTTGTCAAACGAGCTTTCTTTTGCTGGAAGCTGGGTTTGGGCTCCCACACTCGTGGGATCCAGAGGGAGACTGCAGATCACACCTTTCAACCAGACTGAGACCACCACCGTCAACCAGACTGTGACCACCACTCTTCAACCAGAGTGAGACCACCACTGTCAACCAGACTGTGACCACCACTCTTCACCCAGAGTGAGACCACCACTGTCAACCAGACTGTGACCACCACTCTTCAATAAGACTGTGACCACCACCGTCAACCAGACTGTGACCACCACTCTTCAACCAGAGTGAGACCACCACTGTCAACCAGAGACCACCACTGTCAACCAGACTGTGACCACCACTGTCAACCAGAGACCACCACTCTCAACCAGACTGTGACCACCACCCTTGACCAGACTGAGACCACCACTGTCAACTGGACTGCAACCACCACCCTCAACCAGACTGTGACCACCACTGTCAACCAGAGACCACCACTCTCAACCAGACTGTGACCACCACCCTTGACCAGAGTGAGACCACCACTGTCAACCAGACTGAGACCACCACTCTTAATCTTAACCAGACTGTGACCACCACTCTCACCAACAGGGTTTTTTTCCCCTCTCCTTTTACTTTGGACTCATAGGGCCCAACAAACACCACTCTGTTCATGCCCCAGGGTGCTGGGTTATACATTTGGGTTTTGTGGGTTAAAACCAACTGTTTGTCTGTATAATCGTACTTATTGTGTTATTTTATTAAATTGTTATTCCAATTTATAATATCTCCTTTAAGTTGAGTTCATTTCCCCTGCTGGTTTACCTTTAAACCAGCACACCAGGGCTGTGCCCAACGTGGGTCCCTGTGGATCATCCAACGTGGGTCCTCCGATGGCTGCTGCAGTTGGAGCAGCGGCCGAAGCTCTTCCTGCAGTTGGGGCACTCGGGGCTTCCCTTACTGGTGGGTCTGTTGGTGGGAGGATAAGGCAGAGCTGTCCCTGAAGCTCTTCCCACACTCCCCACATGTGTAGGGCCTCTCCCTGATGTGGATGTGACAGTGGGTGTAGAGGGTGTAGCTGTCCCACATTCCCCACACATATAGGGCCGTTCCCCAGTGTGGATATGCTGGTGGCTGAGCAGCTTGGTGCTTGTGCTGAAGCTCTTCCCACATTCCAAGCACTTGTAGGGTCGTTCCCTGGTGTGGATGCAACGGTGTTTGCAAAGGCTGGAGCTGTCCCTGAAGCTCTTCCCACACACCGCACACGTGTAGGGCCTTTCCCACTGTGGATCATCTGGTGTCGGAGCAGGTGGGAGATCTGAGTGAAGCTCTTCCCACATTCTCCACATGTGTAGGGCCTTTCCCCACTGTGGATCATCTGGTGGGTGAGGAGGTGGGAGCTCCGTTTGAAGCTCTTCCCACATTCCAAGCACTTGTAGGGCCGTTCCTCACTGTGGATGTGACGGTGGTTGCGGAGGGTGGACCCCTGCCTGAAGCTTTTCCCACATTCCCTACACGTGTAGGGCCGTTCTCCAGTATGGATGTGCTGGTGCCTGAGGAGGTTGTTGCTCCTGCTGAAGCTCTTCCCACATTCCAAGCACCTGAAGGGCTTTTCCCTGCT